AAAGTGCCAATGAAATTACTAAATTATTTAGCGATCTGCTCTTATATGCATCCCACTAGAAAGTCGTTCACCAGTACCCAGAATTCCATCTTTTCGAACTATACCAACATCAGGTCCTTGTGTTTTTTACAAGATGTGTAAAATCAAGAGTTGAGAATTCAAATGCCATGGCCTTCCAGATTCACTTTGATTTGTATCAACCTCATGAAACAATCTGAAAAGCAACCGATTATCTCCAAGTTCAGTAATAGATATTCCACTTATGGATGCCACATGTTTGCAAATGTTATTATCATACCCTAGAAATTCACCATACTCGTTGTGAGGAAACATTCAATAAAACAATTCTCAAAAGAAATAGTCGACGAGTTTAATCGGCCCAAATTGAAAAACATTTTCCTCCTCCTCTCCCAAATTAAGATTTTCTAACTCGCAGTCTAATTCTCTCGTATTGCAGTCCAAGAATCAAATCAAATAACACAAACAAAATAGAATTAGATTAAAAAAACTGAGAAAAAACTCAGAGACGTGCCAAAGATAGTAGACGAAAAAACGTGCCAAAAACAGAGAAAACCTTACCACAAAGGGTACCTTGTTTTTAAGATAATCTAGTTTCTATGATGAATTACTAAGGTTTTTTTAGTAAATCTAAATGTTTAATAGGATATGTACCATTAATGTATATAAAATTATAGAAATTAAATTTTACCCATTCTATATATAAAAAATTTTCTTAAAGTGAAATTAAATTAAAGGGTAAACTACGCGTTTAGTACTTAAATTATCAATTTTATTCTATTTTAGTACTTAAACTTTTATTTTTTTAAAACAACATATCTAACATTTAGTTTGTGTTTCATTTTAGTACCACATCATTAAAAAATTAACAGGCGGCCTGTCATGACATAGCTCTGGTGGACTGATGACCAATCCAAACGATGGACCACGATAGAATGACGAGTCGACCAATATAGTCCAATTTCAGGCACATCAAATGGTGAACCATAGAGATTAGAGGATGAAAAACTCGAAGAATTCATCATCGATTTGGGGAAATTGAGGTATTTTCAGGTGAAACAGAGACTGAAATAGCATTCAGTGGTCGAAAAGGTGCGAGTTGAAAAGTTTGGGCTTCATCGATTTACGGATGCAATAGCCAGGGACTGTATACACGACGGTCGACGAGCTCATTATTAGTTTCTAACGACGGAGTACCAAAATAAAACAAAAACTAAATGTTTGGAAAAAAAAATGAAAGTTTATATACTAAAATAAATCAAAATTAATAGTTTAGATACTAAATGTAAAATTTACCCTAAATTAAAAAGCAATAATGTCTTAGTCAATGCTTAACTACTCCATTATTGAAGACCCATCTCACTTTGATATGTGGAGCCCCACTCATTTAGACCCTTGTGGGCCTTTTTTTCCTATAAAATACAAATTATTATTCTTCATTAAAAAATTGAAGGATTCTCAAGTTCTTTATCATGGCATTAATTCCATCCCTCCCTTTTGCTTTATCAGACCATCCAACTCCTCTTTATGTCAATTATTTGGTGTTAAAAAATTCAAAAGGATTATGATAAACAACCCTGAAATTTGACTTATATCGAATTAGACAATAATCAAATAAAATTTTGAACGAATTATTGTTTAAATTGAACTTTTATTTAAAGATTCCGGGTAAAATAAATCCTTGAAATCGACATAAAAAATCTCAATCGAACTAGTATTTAAAAATTCATAATAAAGTTTCAAAGAATTATTTGAACATGATATTAATTAATGATCATTATGTGGGACTCATAGTTTCAGCATACTTTAAACTAATTAATGTGATAAGTATGCTGATTAAAAAGCTGAGATTTTGCTTATATTTTTTTAAAGGAGTTCAATTATTGTTTGTAATAAAGTGTACATTAAATGTGTAATCAACGTAAGAAAAGCAAGCCTTAAGAGTTGACTATTATAGTTTGTATAATGTTTAAAAAGCACATCATTCCCCTCTTTTTGTGTTTATCGCTTTGCTGCAATCCAGTGTATTTAATCTTTATTAAAGCAATAAAATTATATATATAAAGCTGCTTTTAGACAATAAAATCAATCTTAAATAATTCCAATTTATATTCAAGTCTATCACGAAAATTAATTATACGAGAGTACAACCTTAGCATCATCCCCTCCAGGCTATTTATATTTCAAATTGGTAGCATTACGAAATTTTCACATCACATCAAACGAGATATATTTCAAAATAAGGTCTTACGTGCCGGTGATTCGGGTTTGAGTTTAGGCTAAAAAATATTCGACCCGACTTAAAAATTTTGTAATTTCACATTATATATTTAGGGATAATTGTAATAATATATCTCTCTATATTAGTTTTTTTTTTCAACTACATCTATGTTTTTATTGAATAAAAGTAATATTTTTAATAAATATATTATTTCAGGTCGGATCAGGTTAGGATTTTATCTCAAAATGGTGGGTCGGGTTCCAATCAAGTGGAAGATGTATATTTTTCGGGTCGAGTTTAGGTCGGATGGAGAATGTATAAATTTTGGATCGGGTCGAGTGGACCGAACCCAACCCGATCTGACATGACCCATGTTGATCCCTATTTGTGGGTGCGTTTGAGGTGTAAAGAGTGCCCAATCATCTTCACAAAAGTGAATATACGATTGGTACAAGACAACGACATATACCTACAATCTAATAAAGTATATGTCTACATATACGATATAAAGTTTTATACTTTTTATGTTGATAATCCTGTTTCTTAATGAGTTTTCGCCAACCTGTTACCATTTAGTAATTACTATTTTTGCCTCTAAAGTTGTAAACATGATTCATTAACTGTTAAATACATTATGAGAAAGAAAATACGATGAAGAATTTGTTGAATGACCTTAATGTTTAAAAAGAGTATTATTTTTCCTTAAGATTTTAAATTCGAGTAGACGTGTCTAGAAACTATATATACACTGTCAATAATAAAAAAGAATCATGAACATATATTATCTTAAAAACCTTACACCATTCAAAAGAAAAAATAAAATACAATGAAGATGTGATATATAATGAAAAAGAAAATACAATCAAATTGTGAGACAATTTTTTAATGCTGAGGTTAGGAGGCGTAAAATTATATCATTTTTTTACTTTACCTTTAGTTAAGTAATTTAGTTGTATAATTAAAAGAAAATCCTCGCGCGCCGTTTCTTTTCTCTAAATCCTCGTTTGCCTCTTTCTTATCCATCTATAGTTTGGTAGACGGTAACATTAATCTCAATATTGATGGTGAACGATTAACAATTTAAAGTCTTTTAAAGAAAAATTAGAATCTTGAAAAACAACTTTAAAATAATTACGAAGCAGATAAATTTTTTAGTTGACTGGTGAAAAATGGAGTGGGAAAATACTATTCTTTTTTTCCTTTTCACATGGAACATGTAGCAATTAATGAAGCCAATGTTGTTGGCAATATTATTCTCTGCTAGTTTCACTTCTTTGAAATTTTTAATTACTTAATTCCCTACACAAACATTAATTATTTATTTAATGCTGCAAATTTATTTCATCTCTATCTTTTATTTTTCAATAATACATACATAACATAACCAAATTATCTCAGTGGTTAAATGAATTGTTGTTATTCCTAGAGCTCCCAAATTCAAGCATCAACGACTGTAGTATAGGTAATTGAGCGTTCATTATCAAATGATTAAGAATATTTAAAACAGATATTATTTTGTAATCACCTTAACTTAATAAAAAATGTATTCATAATTTTTCATACCATTTGCATAATCTAATATGATTTGAATATATTCATGAAATGATAGTGATAGTAAAAAAATATTTTAAAAAAAATCGAAAATCGAATAACTATTGAACAGTTTGTGCTTTATCAATTAACATGAAATTCAGATTAATGTTCGTGTATAATTAATTAGCATTGCTGCCAACTTAGCTATAGTTGGAATGACACATATAAGATTCATACAACTAAGTAAGATATAGTATCTTATAAAATAGAAGAGTGGAACTTAATTCTAATCATTAAAGTTTGAATATTTGATATAATTATTAATTATTTTCTCTATTAATATTAATTAAATATTGTAAAAATGATATTTTTTTCAATTCAATTTATCATGATATATATAATATAAACGAAGGTTCTCTCCCACTAAAAAAATGAAGGTTATCTCTATCAACGAAGATTGATTCAAATGATAAGCAATTTGATAATGTTTAAGTAGATCTCGTATTTGAGGTTTTATGCATGCACAAAATTCTTGTTAAGAAACTCATCCACTAAAATTAAGTGTGAACACTAATTTATCTAAATTATTCAGGAAGAATACCTGAAACCAGAAAAACAAAACAAAAAAATTAAGGTTCTCGCTAGTATAATCGCACTATTATAAAAGAGTTTTCTTCGTATACAACACGTAATAAATTTAACAAGAAGAATGTTGCGTTGAGTGTTGAGAGATGACTTAATCAACCGCGTGGGTTTTAATTTAATAGTTAAATGATACTCTTTGATAGATTAAAGTAATGGTAAGATATTATTTGTTTAGAATCTTTTGATTTATTGATAATTTATATACATTTTGTGAACACAATTGTTTAGAGTTAAAATCTACTCTCTCTCCTATTTCACTCACTATAATTTAAATATTTTTAATTTTTTCACTAAATTTAATACATTGAAATTTCTTGGTCACTTAGTGGTTTCCTCACTAACTGCTTTATGAATGAGCTTTTAAATAGATGCAAAAGATATCTTTTTGGTGAAAATTTTGTTTTTTAAAACGATATTGTTTTAAAGCCGTTAACTATTTAACGACAAAGTGATTAAAAAAACTTAATAAATTAAGTTTAGTGTAGAAATCAAAAACTTTTAAAGTTTAGTGATGAAACTTGTAATTTAACCTTTGCTAATTTCCTATTTGTGTTTATCATCAAGCAAAGGATGATGGAGGAGAAGCATAGAAACCAAAAGCTCAAAAGACAACACCAAAATACCCTGCAACATCCCTATATTTAGTAATTCCAAACCCGCAAAAAGAAAAAAAAGAACAAGGGAGTCCTCCCTTCATCTACACTCTTCTTCGTCAACAAAAACCAAAACCCTAACTTCTCGTTCGAGAATCATGCAGCCTTGTAGTGGTGATATGCAAGCAATGAACTCTCTCTTAAACCCTTCTCAACAAATCCCTCTCCAAGACCTAAAAATCAACGGTCATCATCCGCAGTTCGATGATCCCGCATCGTCCCACGATGACTTCTTAGAACAGATGCTCTCAATGACGTCGTTCCCTGTTCCTTCCTCCTCATGGTCCGACCTCAAGTCACCTTGGGATCCATCCAAACCCGAAGAATCGGATCCTTGTAACCTCGAAAACAATGCCGCCGCCGGGTTCCACCACGACGAGATTCTAGCTTCAAAACTAAGACAACAAGAACATCAAATCAACGGCGGAGATGGTATTAACTCTTTCCAAGCTATGAAGATGATGATGATGATGCAACAACAGATGACGGTAGCTGGAAGATCCACGGTTGCCGCCTCCGCCGGCGGCGTAGGAATTCATCACGTATTCACGTTATCTTACTTTCATTACCCTATATAGATTATCAGAAGTAACAATGAGTGATTAAATTGTATTTTTTCCCTCTTTTTTGTAGGGTGGTGGAGAAGCTGGTTCCATGCAAGCTTTGTTTAATGGCTTCGGCAATGGATCTTTTAATCATCCACAAGCAAGCTTTGGGGCTAATTCAACAACGGAGATAAACCAAAGTCAGGGTCCAACAGCCGTCGCACAGCCGCCGGAAAAGTCTAAACAAAAAGTTAGGGCAAGGAGGGGTCAAGCTACTGACCCGCATAGTATTGCTGAAAGAGTAAGAGAACAATTCTTAAACCAATTTCTTTTCTTTTTATCATCTCTCATGCCGATTTTCGTGTTCGAATTCGAATCGTCATAGAAATGAAATTTAATCAGTATATGTTTAAAAATGATTTGTTTTTGCAGCTACGGAGAGTTAGAATTGCAGAGCGAATGAAAGCTCTTCAAGAACTGGTTCCCAATGCCAACAAGGTACACTTCATAGGCTCCGGTCTCCGGCTTAAAAGCCTGACCGCCGGTTATTCGGTCAATTTTAGGCTACGCGTAAGCTGGACATGTGTCGATACTATGATAAATTAATTTTCACAGTCCAGTGCCTTTAATGTTTCTCTGAATCATTATTGATTTTTAATTGCAAACCACCCGTTTTGGAAACTGGAAAGCCCTCTAAATTATTCGGGATATTTATTGAGCTCCATTATATCCTTAATACAAAAATTAATTAGCTGACCCTTATTCCCATATGTAATGGAGTATGGGGAGGTAAGATAGTAGGCAGCCCCCAACGCCAGATTGAAAGCAGCTTCCGTAGGAGACCTCCGAAATATGAAATGCCCTCCATGGGACTCGATCCCACGACCTCAAGGTTAAGAGCCTTGTGCTCTACCAACTGAGCTGGATGGTCATTTCTCATTATATCCTTAATACTGAGCTGGATGGTCATTTCTCATTATATCCTTAATACGTAACTAAATAATTAATTTGGTCAAATTAATGTTTTGGTCCTCTGCAATACTTGAATTTTGGACTAAATCCCTAATCTTCTACTTTTCCTACTGATTAGAAGGTTATTTCCCCGGGGGGAATACTATTTGAGCAGTGTTCACTATTTGAACTAACATTATCAAAGTATAGAGTCAAATTAAAGTATAAAATAGAATTTATTTTTTTTGCATATGATATATTTATGTTTAAAGTAGTATTAGTTTAATTAGCTCCAATAATTTATGTTATTTTTATCATATCTCTTAACAGACTGTATTTCTGTATTTTGATTATTTAAACCAACTGATTAATTAGCTTTGGAATGACAGACAGATAAAGCTTCAATGCTTGATGAGATCATCGACTATGTCAAATTCCTCCAGCTCCAAGTCAAGGTAATCCTAATTTTCCCTTTATTTTTAAGTTATTTAATTAAATAAAATATTATTAACGTATTCCCTGTGTTGACGTGATTTATTTAATTTGGTTATTAATATTTTAATTATTTCTTAATCCAGTTGTTGTATGGGCTTCTCTGAAATTAAAACTCCTTTCTTTACAGGTTCTGAGTATGAGCAGATTGGGCGGTGCTGCTGCTGCTGCTGCTGTTGCTCCCCTTGTTACTGATATGCCCTCTGAGGTAAATCTTATTTTTCAAAATAATAATATTATTATTAATAAAGTACCTTTAATGTTTAATCTCGTAATTAACAAATTTAACACGTTATACTTTTACATGTGATTATGGCGAAAAGAGTTGTATCGAGCTTGTTTTTTTTGTTAAAATCAAAATCATTCCTTGTCTGAAATCTGACCATATCTCCATCACATCAAAGAAAACGACAAAGGACAAAAGTAGCACGCGTGCATTACTTTCCAAGCTTGGTTTTGGTCAAATTTTATTTTGATCCTTATATTATACTAAAATTTATGATTCAATCTTTATGCTGTAAATTAGCATCAATTATTCCTTATACTGTATTAATTTATTGGTGCAGTGATAAAAGAATAGCGTTATTGTCATTTTTTTCATGATATATCGAGTCATAGGTTCTAACGTGCAAAGTTAACAATATTAGGGAAGTAGACCGATGAAAGTATGTTAAATTAAAGTAAAAGGTTTAAAAATAAAATTTAAATATAGTGAAGGATCAAGACTAGATATTACCCTTTTTTCCTATTCTTTTTAGTTGTAAAAACAATTCATGAAAAAGTAGGAATTTTCGTCCTTTTGAAGGGAGGTGGTGATTGCATTCAAACGAGTGCTAATGGTGGGTCCCTTCCACGAAGTTCCAACGGCAACCAAACGCCGCCTGCTAACGACAACCTGACGGTGACGGAGCACCAAGTGGCCAAGCTTATGGAAGAGGACATGGGGACCGCCATGCAGTATCTTCAGGTCAAGGGTCTTTGTCTGATGCCGATATCGCTCGCCTCCGCCATCTCAACCGCCACTTCTCATTCGAGGAACCCAATGATCAGCAATGTGAACCCAAATACCGGCATTAACGGGAACGGTAGCCACCTTTTGCTACAATCGAGCGGTGGTGATGGGCCTTCCTCGCCTAGCATGTCGGTGTTGACCGTCCAGTCAGCTACCACGGGTAATTGCGGAATCGACGGAGCGGCCTCCGTTTCTAAGCCGTGACGGCGGCGTTTGTGGCTGACCATTATTAGCTCCTGTCAATTGAAGGGCAGCTTTGAGTCTACGAAAATAAGGTGGTCTTAGTTCATTCGTGTTTTTTAATATCAAACGACACCGTATTTACATAGACTTTATAAGCTAAACCCTAAAGCCAAATCCCGTAATGGAACAACTTTTAGTATTATAATTAAATAGCTGTAATTGTTTTTTTTTTATGTAAAAGTAGAAGAGTTCGAAATCCAACTCAAAATTGGTGTCAATTATGAATTTGAATATAACTCTTTCATCACTTTATTTACAATCAAATAATTATCATTTTATTTCTTTATATTTCAATTTTTTATTTATTTTGGTTGGATCCTGTTCTTATTTTATTATATAAACATAAATAAACTTAATATCAATAATCAAGATGTACAGCTTATAAACAATGTAATATGAAGATGAAGTGTACTTGATTTTGTTAATTAGGAAGCTTTTATAATTTAATTATTTCTATTGAACTTCTAAAAAACAGTATTTTTTTTTAAATAGATTTTTAGTATAAATATTAATATATGACTCATTGATCGTTAATCTGATTTAAATATCATAGAAATATATTGTAAAGATGATCTTCTTAATCTATTTTTCCGTTTCAAATATCTATTAACTTTATTGATTAACCGAAATATGTTAAGAAGATGTGAATTGACCTTTTAAAAATAGTGACAAAAGCAACTCAAAAATAAAACTTTTGCACAACTATTTTAGAGTGGTTCGACTTCTAAACCAAGTCTACATCCACTACCTTAGGATACATACTAAGAATTTCTCAAACTTACTAGATTTGCTAATTTTTTAGGACAATGTGTAACCTTACAACAACACACAAGATTTATGCCTCAAACACTTACAATCTCTCTGCAAAAGGAATTACAAATTTAGCAAGCAAAAGAAAACTTCACAAAGACAAATGTGTTTGCAAACAATAAGCTCTCACACAAATCACACTTGAGCAAAAGAAACAATTTTTGAATAATCAGGTAAAGAAAACGAAAGAACACAAGAATTTTAATGAGGTTCAGCAATGTGCTTACGTCCTCGGTGCCTTAGGCGGCACTAGAATTTTTATTCAATTCAATGTCTCATAGGTTTAGGTTACATCTCCTTTTATAATAAATAAACCATGGTACATATTTACAAAAATAACCCTATACCATACTAGACTTTCTTTGAAAGGACAGATGACGTTCGCTTTGCTCACTACGCTCCATCCTCTGTCCTATTTACCGGTATATTTATGAGTCATACCTAACAAATCTCCACCTTGGCAAATATCCTGCCCCTTAGGAAACATTCAATGTGGGTTGGGTTACCTTACTTCTTTAACAACTCAAAACATTCAACAAGTCCAAGCAATGCATGAACTTGTCTTTCGTAACTGGCTTGGTGAACATATCAACTGCATTCTCATCAGTATGTACCTTCTGAAACAAAATCTTGTGAAACCTTACATCAATATGCTTAGTTCTAGCACGATATATCTGATTCTTAGCTAAGTGAATAGTACTTTGATTGTCATAAAGCAACTGAACTCTTCCTTGCTGAACACCCAACTCCTTCACAAAACCAGTAAGCTATAAAACTTCTTTTGCTGCTTCAGTCACTGTCATGTATTCAGCTTCAGTTGTAGATAATGCCATAACAGATTGAACATTATATTTCCAACAAATATGCCCTCCACCAAGAGTAAAGACATACCCTGTCGTAGATCTTTATTATCCAAATTACCCATATAGTCTGAATCCACATATCCTACAACCAAAGGATTATCCCGTTGACTACCGAAAATAATTTCATGTCCCACAATATCCTTTAAGTACCTAAAGATCCAATTGACTACTTCTCAATGTTGCTTACCAGGTTTAGACATGTACTTACAAACTTGACTAACAACATGAGCTAAATCAGGACGAGTACATACCATTGCATACATCAAGCAGCCAACAACATTAGAATATGAAACCTTTACCATATCTTCAGCTTCCTTATCTGTCTTGGGGCACTGTTCTGATGAAAGCTTAAAGTGATTCGCCAATGGAGTTCTCACTGGCTTTACATTTTCTCAACATAACCCCGTTGAGATAGCCACAGTTTGGTAGTATCATCACAGGACTCAACAGAATAAACTCCACCTACAATGGTACTCCTTAACAATCTGTAAATTCCCTGCAGTCATATTTCCTTTCATCACATTCAAAGCTCTTTTAACAATCTGAATGGTTTCCCTATCCTCATCAGCCTAAGGGATAAAACCATTCTTGTGCAAAGTGCCCAAAGAAATCAAATTCTTTTTCAAATCAGGGATATGTCGAATACCACACAACGTCCGAACAGAACCATCATACATCTTAATTTTGACATCACCAATACCAATAATATTGCAACATCGATCACCACCCAAATAAACAAAACCAAAATTAACTGACTTGTATGTTGAAACCATCCCCTATTTGGCGTAATGTGATAAGAACATCCAGAATCAAGAATCCAATCATTCGTCAATTGAGTCGTTGAAATAGAGTGCATATCACCCTCATTGCAATCAGATTTGTCATCCTCGACCACATTCACAAACTTGGATGAGTCATCACGATTCTCATCAGTCTGCTTTTTCAACTTCGGACAGTCTCGCTTCATATGTCTCGCCTCCTTGCACTTGTAACAGTGAATAATATTCTTATCCCTAGATTTGGATCTGAAATTTCGCTTCCCAGACCTTGTTTTCTCTAGCCTCTGTCCACGGTCTCGATTAACCTTGACATATAAGCTATCAGCTTGAGAGCTTTCCCTGCATTCTTCTTCCACTGGTTGTGAGCCAACAAGGTTGCAGTAATCTCCTCAACTTTGATAGTCTCTTTCCCATATGTAAGAGTAGTCACCATGTGTTCGTAAGAGGGATGCAACGAACACAACATAATCATCAGTTTGTCTTCATCCTCAATTTTCACATCAAGCCGAGCCAAATCAGAAATGATTTGATTGAAGACATTCACGTGTTGCACCAAATCATGATCGTCCAACATCTTCAGCCCATACAGCTGCTGATTTAGATACAGTTTAGTCGTTAAGGATTTGGACATAAACTGACTTTCCAACTTCTTCCAAATTTCATCTGGAGACGACAGATGCATGATGTGATACATGACCTCATCTGCCAAACATAATCGTATGGTTCCTGTCGCTCGCTGCTGTAATTCTTCCTAATCTTTCTCCTCCATCGACGCCGGCTTTATAGGTCGCAAAGCCTTCATGATCCCTTGTTGCGCCAACAGATCTTTCACCATTGTTTTCCATAATCCGAAGTTACCCTGACCATCGAATTTCACAACTTCAAATTTGGCTCATGACATCTGATACCGATTGTTGAATAATCGGGTAAAGAAAATGAAAGAACACAAGAATTTTAATGAGGTTCAACAATGTGTTTACGTTCTCGGTGTCATAGGCGGCGCTAGAATTTTTATTCAATTCAATGTCTCTTAGGTTTAGGTTACATCTCCTTTTATAATAAATAAACTCTGGTACATATTTACTTAATCTATATCGGTATATTTATGAGCCATATGACTCATTGAACGTTAATTTGATTTAAATTTCATAGAAATATATTATAAAGATGATCTTCTTAATATATTTTTTTTGTTTATAATATCTATTAAATTTATTGATTAACCGAAATATGTTAAGAAGAGGTTTTTGGGTTTCATTTATTGAACTCAATCAAAGTCTGTGAATCAGTCATTGGATTCTCCATAGCCAAAACTCGGCATTCAACTCATCCCTCAAACTATTCGTGCAAAAAATCCCCAAATCAATTAGGGATTTCAAGCACCCAAATCAGCCATCTGACGCTTAGGGACTCGATTGCTTGGCCCTTCTCCGTCTTCTTCGATCCCCACGGAGAACTTTACCATTCTCTTCTATTTCCCTTTTGCCCTAAGATAAGTGCTCTTGCTCTCTGATCTCTGTGTTTTTCCTCTTCTTTGAACTAAATATAACGCTTCCTTTTGTTCTTCAAACTAATTACTGTATTCAGTAAATCCAGATCTTTTCCCTGATTCAAGCTTAAAAGATCCCCCTTTTATAGTTATTTTATTTAAAAAGATTAATTTCATTCATTTATACAAATTTATATTTGTGGAAAATTTTTGGGAATCAAGAAAGTTCTGCTGCTTTCCTCCTTTAATTCTTTAATCTCTCTTGGTTTGTTTTGAGATCCATAAAGCCTAAAATCTTGACTGTGATTTTGACCCTTTTCACTTCAATTCCTGATTTTGTTTTAACTTTGTTTATAGTTTCCGTTAAATTCAATATGTGATTTTCTTGAAGTTTAATCCGAACTGTATATTTAGAATCATCAATTAGCTTTACTTTTTGGTAGTTAGAGGCTCTTTGATTTACCAAAGACTAAATTTTGTGCTAAAGACCCTAGCAACTTTTTTAGCTCTGTTTCCATCTCCTTTTCGCTTCAGAATTTAGAGGTTTTTGGTTTATTTATTTTTCTGGGTTCGATTCAATGTTCATCTTCAGATTGTAGTTTAGAGTTTTTTCCCCTGGGTTTGGTCTGTTTAAACTCTCTAGAACAGTGAATACCTCAATAGTGATATATATGCTTGCTTATTATCATTTTCTCTGCAAAATTTTCTGGGTTTGATGTTCATCTTCACTGGTTTTGTCAACTTATAGTTTCTGTTACTGGATTTGGTCTATTTTACTCTCTGAAACAGTAAATACCGCAAAATTATTTGATTAGATTTTGTTGGAATTAAGTTAGCGTTTTTATTAGTGCATCTTCTGTCTTATTTGGATTCTTTTTTCATAGTTCCTCATTGCTTCGGTTATAGATGATTACTTGAGGTCATGTCCTTCTTTTAGATCCCATGGGGCGTATAGGGGGAGGGCTCGACAGAGTGGTGACAAGGAGACTAGACTAAGAGTTTGCTCGTTGAATGTAGGCACATTAAATGCTAGGCTGCTGGAGCTGACCGACGTACTTAATAATAGAAAAATAGATTTTGCATGTATCCAGGAGACTAGGTGGAAAGGGTCCCGCGCCAGAGAGTGTAATGGGTACAAGTTGTG